CTCTGCCGAATTTAGCTGCGTGACCTTGCACAAGTCACGAGCTTTCAGTGCCTCGGGTTTCTCATGCATGAAATTAGGGTTCGAGGACTTCTTCTCGAAGCCAGGCCAACTCTGGAGTTTAATATCCACTAAAAGAGACAGGAGATTAAGCACTCCAAGGAGACAGTGATTCGTGATTCGTAGAATTACAGTAGCTTTGTTGACTGTTGGAAAACGGCAGCAGCAGGTGAATCAGCCTGGAGTGGAGTTGTTGGAGATCAGTGATTTTTCTTGTTCGTAAAATAAAACAACTCCCCCCTCCAAAAATCAAAACAGTACACTTGACTACAGCACAAGACGAGGTCCTGATGGTGGAGGAGAAAGCCCAGTCCGGGAAAACACAGTCATGATCTTGTACAGAGGACGTTATGGAGGGGAGGATTGTCATGAACTGGTTTCCTGGCCAGATCTCCGTTTCCGTTTTCCCTAGGGCAGATGCCCATCTGGGAGACCATGTTGTTGTAATGTCACCTTCAGTGAACAATCTACTGCAACCCATAGACTGAGAAGAGGAGAGTGGGATTTCAAACCACCTTCCTTTGCCTGTTTTGGCTCTCTGAAGATAGATGTGAGAGGGATGCTCGTAGTAAATGCTTCTTTCTAGGACAGGCAGATGTGAGCCTCTTCTCCTGTCCTTTCCTGGGGCCTGTGGCTGGACTCCCCCAGTAGCCAGAGAAGCAGGTAAAAAGTTCCTTTTTCTCTCAGGCCTGGACCAAACCTTGCCTAATCTGCCTGTCCTGTGCTTTCCTGTACATCCAGCTTGGCCTGCCATAGACACATGTCCCCATGTCCCATGGTATAATAGGAAGAGGTTGGGTTGGAGGTCAAGGTAGGCCTCACTCTGAACCCTACTTCCTGGCTGTGCAACATGGGGTGGGTTACAGAGCTCAGGCAGTAAGGGTGGCAGTATTGTCATGCAGGTAGCTTCACAGCGTCCTCAAGATTCACACTTTATTCTAGAGCCATATGAAAATGTCTCTTCCTTAGAGGAGAGAGGGTGAAGGGGTGAGCAGAAAAATAGACAGGGGAGTCTCCTCCTCTCTCCTCCCCTCCCCTCCACCCCAATATGTGATAAGCACCAGAGGCTGCTTTATCTTGCAGAGATCAGCAAGGTCTCCCACCCCCTTACACAGACTGCTACAACAATGAGGTTCAAACTTTGTAAACAATCCACTAACAACAACAAAAAGAAACTGTAATGTGTGAAATGAGTAAAAATAGGTCTTTTTGTTATTGTTGTTGAAGAGATTTTTTTTACTAAAGAGCACATGCGCTTGCTGGAGACACAAAGAGAGACACAGAGAGAGAAAGTGAGAAAACATCCTGGGGCGGGGAGGGGGGATGGCCACACCACAGTCCCTTCCCCACCATTCTCCTCTCGGGATTTGGGGCACACACGTACATGTGCTTGGTGTGAGATTCAAGTCACCAGGTCTGGGACTCAAACCACCATTGACCATGTGAGAGTCCAGTGCCACAACCACTATACCACCTGCTGGCCCCAATAGGCTTTTGTTTATAAAAGTATGTATGCCTAAGTTGCAATTTATAATAAACCCAATAAGAAGCAATTTTGATTAGTAGAGAAATTTGAGCTAGAGGAGTTAAATGCCTCGTATGGTCTTTTTCTTAGAACATAGAGATCAATAATTGCATATAATATTTTTTAACTGTTCTTCCAATTCAATAATATCACTCAATTGAAAAAATAGGTGGCTCATGCCAAAGCTGCAGAAAATACATAGATGAGTGTGTATTTGTTTATATATACAAGTAAGAATGAGCTTTAAAACATTTCCATTTTTGAAAAATGCTTATACATTTAAAAAATAAAATTTTAAATGAGCCAGCCCATGGCCTGGTGGTTAAGGTGGCTGGATCCCACATGGCCAACTGGGCAGTTCAAGCCCTGGACCCAGCAGCTTGAAAGGTACAATGGACATGTGTGTGTGCATGATCAAAATCCTGAAAAGTGAGAGAAATGGAGGAGAAGGGATGCAGCGTGGCCATAGGGGATGGTCCCTGTCTTTCTCTGGCAAGTGCATGTGCCTCTGGCAAAAAAAGAATAAAAAATTTTAAAAATGAATTACAAAAGAAAATATGAAATGTCTAAAACATCTTCATGGAATCCAGGGTTTGGCAGAATATTGCATGGAACACATTCCTTTAGACCTGGCCCACTCATATCTCAATTTGCTTTCTCTTTCCTATTTGTTTGTGGTATATATGTGTGTTGCCTATGCAAACCTATTCAATTTTTTATTCTAAAAGCTAGTTGAGGACCGGCTCCATAGTTTAGTAGTTAAGGGAGCTGAATCTCACATGGCTGACCATGGTTCAAGCCCCAGTCTCAGGAGCTTAAGAAACACACTAGGTGTGTGTTCCCAACATCCTGACAGGATGGAGAAATGGAGGAGAAGGGGTTGTGATCTGATCATGCACCACGTGGGAGTGGCGTGCTTCCTCCCTCTTCCTCTGTCTCTGGACAATGTGTTCACCCTCTGGCAATTAAAAAAAGAAAAGCTATTTGATATAAAAACTAATGAAGTTTGAGTAAGGTTATAGTCTGGGTGACAATACTGTGTTGATGTTGAGTTCTTGGTTTCGATAGTGTCTATAAGTGGGGAGTTTGATGAAGTTACTCTGTACTGCTTTTGTAACTTACTTTGAGTCTGTAGTTATTGGAGAATTTTTTTAAAAAGTCATTTGGAAATAATGTTCTATTTAACTATTAGTTGGGTGAGTAGCTGGATAAACAGAGCAGTGTATACAGCGCCCTTAGAGAGTGAATTTCCATTTAGCTTACCCTTAAAATAAGAAAAAAGCTCCTTCTTTCTTTGCCATTGAGTTCTACATAGTCCACACTCACTCTGCCTGGTCTCTGACAATGTTGACATTTTGAGTAGAAATCAGCCATTGACTAATCAAGGAGAGCACTCTTTCAGGAAACCTATTTTAGCTGCTGCTTAATTATTTCATAAGAAAATAGTGCAGATGGGACCAGCAGATAGCATCATGGTTACATCGCTGGACTCTCACATAGTTGACTGTGGTTCAAGTCCCAGACTTGGTGGCTTAAACTTATGCTGGGTACACTTGTGTGAGTGCCCTAAATCCTGAGAGGACAATGGAGAATGGATTGAATGGCCATCCCACCTGAGGGGTGATTTCTCACTCCTTTCTCTTTGTCTCTGTCTGTCTCTGGTGAGCACATGCATCCTATAGCAAAAATCTCTCTAAAAAAAAAGAAGAAGAAGAAGATGGGACCAGCATAATGGCTATGTCACTGTACTCCCATGTAGTCGACCGCGGTTCGAGTCCCAGACCCGGTGGCTTAAACTCATGCCAGGTGCATGTGCATGTGAGCCCAAGATCCTGAGAGGAGAATGAAAGAGAAGGGATTGAGGTGTGGCCATTCCCCCCTGGGGGGTGATTTCTTGCTTTCTGTCTCTCTGTCTCTCTGTCTGTCTGGCAAGCGCACACACCCTATAGCAAAGACCTCTCTCAAAAAAAAAAAAAAAAAAAGAGAAGAAGAAGAAGAAGGAAAATGGCGCAGAAACCCAGCATTGAACCCATGGTCAGAAAAAGATATATGAATGATGCAGCATGTATTTCTGAAGCATTCTTATGCTTAAAATGTTTAATTAGACTGAAGCAGTGTTAACATGATAGGATATCACCATTATGTGTCCAAGGGCTTCTAGTCTGTGTGATGGGTATTGTTATACAGTAGACAAGGTAAAGGGTTAAAAATATTTTTTAAAAGAAGGAGGGTGGGAAACAGGATCGTTCCCTGTCCTCTAAACCTACCCAGCCAATCATGGCAGCCCCACGCTACTGATCTTAGTCTTGATCTCTTCCCAAAGGCACCACCTCTCAACACCATGATCTGATTGGATTTTCATCCTCTTAATCCCATCACAACCAAATCTCAAAGCATGAATTGGGGGGGGAGGGGCATACAAACCATAGCACTGCCCTTGTGAATTTCCACACTTTAGTTGGCACGATCAGCTGATATAAACAAGAAAGAGCCTTTAATAAAAGGAAGCTGGTTTTGGTCCAGGATCGAAACAGCCCAGAGACCAGAAAGGGGGACGAGCTGAATAAACGGAAGTTCTCAGGAAATGCTTAGAAAGACTGGGGTCTGCCTAGACTTGACAAGAAAAGGAGGTGGGGAGACAGGGAGCTAAACTAGGTGTCAGGGAAGGAAATTAGGTAGAAAAAATGGAGAGGTAAGACATCCATGGGACACAGAAATGGTTTATTACCTGTTGATGATATCATGCATAGTATTCTCAACTGGACTGGTCTGAGGTGTCTTTCATGTTGAGTAAATTCTCTTTACAAGCTAAATGATGTGTATGTGACTAAATGTATAAAAATAGTAATAATAATAAAAAATACTTTTAAAAGGGTAAAACATTGATCTATTTACTTTCTTGTGTGTAAAATAAAAAACGGGCCTGGCAGTAGTGAAATACAATGCTCTATTCCCTTAGACCTTCCAGCGTGCTATGAAGTACTGTCAGGTACTGGTAAGATTGGTGGTGCTTTAGCTGTTTATCACATGAGAAGTGATACAGAACTCCCCAAGTCCGTCTGTCTTTGTTGTAATTGCCAGTAAGTTTAGACTCCAAATTAACCTGAGAGAGTGATTGCCTCTGATGTTTTTCCTGGAATGGGTCAAGGGAGTTGATCACATTTGGGAGACACTTAGGAAAAGTGAACTGAGGTCAGAACAACTTCTTCACTAAATGGGTGCTAATATATGTCCATTTTTTAAAAATCCATTTATTTAGGCACATAAAATACCAGGACCGTAAGAGCCTTTGCATTAAGTGGGACTTCCGTCTTGTGTCCGTTGTGGGGACTGCTTCGGCTGACCTTAGAGACAGGGACTGAACTCTCAGCTCTCTGGAAATCGCTCTGTCTGACCAGTTTTTCTGGGTTCTTCTCAGGGTTATTAATGCCGGGAAGAGCACACACAATGAAGACCAAGCCAGCTGTGAGGTGCTCACTGTGAAGAAGAAAGCAGGGGCCATTACCTCAACCCCAAACAGGAACTCCAAGAGACGGTCCTCTCTTCCCAATGGGGAAGGGTTGCAACTCAAGGAGAACTCGGTAAGATACTCCTTCATCTTGTTTTCAGGTGAGGGGGACTGCACGCAGGTTTGCTGGTCCCATGGTAAGATGTCAAGGCTTACTCCGGGTCTGGAACGGAAGCAGGGAAGCAAGGTTCCGCAGAGTTAGTGGGATGGCAGACCTACACTCAAGGTATTAAACATTCCAAACTGAAGTAGACTTGAATGATCAACTGGTGTTTGTGTTTGTACATCAAATGCCCACCCCATATAAAATTTTGTTGTAAAAACTGACATATAAAAATGTTTGGGGGATCAGCTGAGGACGTAATGGTTACATCGCTGGACTCCCATGTAGTTCACTGCGGTTTGAGTCCTGGACCCGGTGGCTTGAAACTCATGCTGGGTGCGTGTGCATGCATGTCCAAAATTCTGAGAGGAGAATGAAGGAAAAGGGATTGCAGCATGGCCATCCCTGCGAGGGGTGATTTCTTGTCTCTCCAGCAAGCGCACATGCCCTGTAGCAAAAAGAAAAAGAAAAAGAAAAAGAATGTTTGGTGGTTTCAGAGACTCTACGTCCAGGTCCTTGTGAAGGAAGTAGTCCAGGAGCCTCTCACGAGGGGTGGAAGTGACTCCAGCTGCCAGCTTAGTGCTCTGCGGGGGCGTCACCCCTCTCTCCCCTGCCGGGCTTAGACTCGTTCACTTGGAGCCTGTGTCTGGTGCTCTTCCACATCCGTGCGTTTCAGTTGGCCCGAAGCCCTTGTGCCCCATGGGGTGGCCTGCAGACTGAATGCCCTATTGACAAACCACAGATGTATCTCCTCTCTCCAGTTTCCAGAGAGTAACGCAGACATAGCCTCAGGAAGATCTGAAGAAACCCTCAGAAGAGAGTAGAGAATAATTGGCACTTTGTCCGTCAACAGATTGCTCAGCACTATGGAAAGGGATTTGTGGGAAAGTCAGGAGACATTGAATAAGGTGACCCAAATGTGACTTTATTCTATCATCCTGAGGATTTTTTAAATATTCAGAAATTTCCTATTAGTCTAAGAAATAGTATCTGGTTACATTTATACCCAGGGAGTATTAAGAATACCAATTTATTGTGTTAGTACTAAGTTACTTTAGGGTTAGAGACACAGTGACCCATGGGGACTTGTCAATTGTGCTTATTTTCAAAGCTAAAGGAAGTGTTGTTAGGATTCTCCCAGAGTCAGGTCATGGACTCAGAGGGCGTTATAGGACAGTAGTGGGTGAGTGCACAGGTTCTGCAGTAAGAAGGCTTAGAGATTTAATTTAGAGGTTTTATTTTTCAATGCTTTGAGCTGCATTTTTTCCTTCTGCAAAAAGAAATAATAACCATAGTAGCTACCAAATGGCAAAAGCAGGCCAGTTGGAAATAAGACATCCAAAAGTTTATGGTAAATGTTGAGCTAATGACTTAATTAATACATCCTTAATAAATGCTAGTGGTTATTATCCGAGGTCAGTTCCACTTCTGTCATTCTCTGTGGAAAATGTCCACTGAATGTTGTATGTTTATTCACTTATACATTGGAAATTACACTCTTTGCTTTGCTTGACAGGATTATTTTGAGGACTGCGTTATTATGGGAAAAGGCTTGGAAAATGTGAGGCCTTAATGATAATTGAGGATGGGTGCCAAGAACTTAATGTTGCTCTTTCCCCTGCCCCCGGGATAGACTGATTTCTGTAAAAATAATTCAGTGTTGACGTTTGGCCCAAGACCAGTGGATGATGGCATTTTTCCTTTTTGTCAAGTTCCTCCTAGAAATGGAGGCAGAGGTGACTTTTTAATGCCGCGTCCTTAACAGCGAAACTGGTGCATAAGCACTTTAGGATGGCCCTCCCTTGGGATGGTTGCAAAGCTCTTTGGAGTCCAAGATGCAGCAACAAGGTGCTGAGCAGAATGGACACGCCCTGGTTCCCAGTCCCCGTGTCAGCTGCAGCAGTGTCACTGCTATCTGCTTACGTACAGGCGTACCTTGGAGATGTTGTAGGTTCCGTTCCAGAACACGGCTGTAAAGTAGATATTGAAACAAAGCAAGTCACTTGAATTTTTTTGTTTCCCAATATATATAAAAGTTATGCTTATGCTGTACTGCAGCCTATTAAATGTGTAATGACATTAGGTTTTCAAAAACAGTGTCCATACCTTAATTGTAAAAGACTTTATTGCTGGAGCCAGTCCTTGGCTTGGTGGTCAAGATGACTGGATCTCACATGGTCAACTGCATGGTTCGAATCCTGCACCTAGTGGCTTGAAAAACACACTGGATGCCTGTATGTGTGTTTTTCTCAATGTCCCAAAAGGAGAAAGAAATGGAGGAGAGGAGATTGTGGTATGACCATACCCCATGGGATGGAGGTGCTCCCCCACTCCATCCCTCTCTGGCAAATATACATGCCCTCTGGCAAAAAAAATAAAAGACTTATTGCTATCTCAGTCCGCAGTAAGTCATAATATTTTGCAGGTGAAGAGTCTCACCTTAATGTTCATAGCTAATGATGGATCAAGGTGGTGGTTGTTGAAAGTGGGGTCACTAGCAGTTTTTTTTTTTTTTTTTGAGAGATTTTCACTGTAGGGCGCGTGCGCTCGCCAGACAGACAGAGAGAGACATAGAGACAGAAAGCGAGAAATCACCCCCCAGGGGGGATGGTCACGCTGCAATCCCTTCTCCTCCATTCTCCTCTCGGGATCTTGGGCATGCACGCACACGCGCCCAGCGTGAGTTTTAAGCCACCGGGTCCGGGACACGAACCGCGGTCGACTACGTGGGAGTCCAGCGACATAGCCATTACGCTAACTGCTGGTTCCCACTAGCAGTTTTTTAAAAGAAGACAGCAATGAAGTTTGCTGCACTAATTGACTCTTCATTTCAGAAAGGAGTCAGTTCTCTCAAACCTGCCACTGCATGATCAACTACATTTATGTAAATTCTAAGCTTTTGTTATTTCAACAGTATTTTCAGCATCTATACCAGGAATAGATTCCATCTCAATCCGCTTTCTTTACTCATTGGAAAGAAGCCATTCCTTGTCCTTTCAGTTTTTAACATGCTATTGCTACAATCAGTCACATCTTCAAGCTCCACTTCTAATTCTAGTTCTAGCTGTTTTCATCACATCTGTAGTTGCTTTCCCCACTGCAGTCTCAAACCCTTCAAAGTCATCCATGATGGTTGAAATCAACATCTTCCAAATTTGTTTTAATGTTGATATTTCAATCACCTCCCATGAATCAAAAATGTTCTTAATGATATCTAGGATGGTGACTCTTATCTGGAAGGTTTTTAATTAACTCTGACCAAATCCACCAAAGAAACCACTGTTATGGCAGCAAATAATAAGACTTGAAAGTTGAAATTACTCCTTGATTCATGGGCTACAGAATGGGTGTTGGTTAGCAGGCATGAAAATGTTATTATTGATACATCAGAGCTCTTAGGTGACCACGTACATCGTCAATGAGAAGTCTTTTTTTATTTTTAGAATTTTGTGCTAGGGTGCCTGTGTTAACTGAAGAGACAGATAGAGGCAGAGAGAAAAGGAAAGTGCAAAATCAACCCCTAGTGGGGTCTGGCACACCATAATCCCTCTCCTTTATTCTCCTCTTAGGATTTTGTGCATACATGCACATGCGTCTGGCATGTTTTTCAACCCAGCAGGTCTAAAACTCAAACTGCAGAGTTGACCATATGGGATCCAGCACCTTAACCACCACACCACCTGCTGGCTTGAGAAGTCATCTTTTAAAAGAAATTTTTTTTCTTTTTTCTTCTTTTTTTTTATCCTGAACAGTAGATCTCAACAATAAGCTTAAAGTCTTCAGTAAATTATATTGTAAACAAATGAGCTATTTTTTAGACTTTGTTGTTCCATTTATAGAGCACAGAAGAGTAGATTCTTTTTTAAAAAATAAGTATTTAATTTTATTTATTCATCCATTTATTTTAATTTGACCAGAGAAAGGCGGAGAGTGAGAGGAAGTGAGAAAGCAAGCTGTCAGGTCCAGGACTTGGACTGTGGTCAGCCATGTGGGAGTGTCCAGCGCCTAAACCGCCATGCCACCTGTCGGTCCCCAGAAGAGTAGATTCTTTTTTTAAAATAATTACTTTTTAATTTAATTGTATTTATTCATTTATTCTTAATTTTAGCAGAGAAAGACACGGGGTTGGGGGGGAGACTGAGAAAGCAAGCCACCAGGTCCAGGACTCGAACTGTGGTCGGCCATGTGGGAGTGTCCACACCTTAGCTACCACACCACCTGCTGGTTCCCAGAAGAGTAGATTCTTAAGCAACCCCAGAATTTTTTTTTATATAAGCCAGATTTTGGTTTCAAGTTTAAGTCATCAGCTACACAAGCTTCTGACTAGAGAGCTAGCTTTAAAGCTTCAAAGCCAAACTTTGACCTTTCTTCTCTAGCTATGAAAGTCCTAGATGGCATCTTCTTCCCATATTTTTCATTTATATTAGAAACCATTTTGAGGGGACCAGCAGGTGTCATGGCTCTTAAGGCATTGGATACTCCCATATGACTGACCACAGTTTGGGTCCTAGACCTGGTGGTTAGCTTTCTCACTTTCTCCCTCCTTCTCTCCCTGTGTCTCTCTCTGGCCAAATTAAAATGGATGAATGAATAAAGAAAAGAAAATAAATAAATCTTTTTTTAAAAAAATCATTTTGGAGACCAGCAGATGGTATAATGGTTACATCACTGGACTCCCACATAGTTGACCACAGTTCGAGTCCTGGACCCAACACCTTAAAATTCATACTGGGTGCATGTGCGTGTGTGCCCAAAATCCCAAGAGGCAAATGGAGAAGGGATTGCTGTGTGGCCCTCTCCCCCAGGGGGTGATTTCTCATTTTCTATCTCACTGCCTCTCTGTCTCTCCAGTGAGTGCATGCACCCTATAGCAAAAAAATCTCTCTGTAAAAAATAAAATCATCTTTAATGATTTCTTTTTAGTCTTTTATTTTTAGTATAGTCACCTTCGCCTTGCACTTTTAAGGATG